GAAGAGGAAATAGGTGTGTTTATGCGTGTTTATGCGTGTATGTGTGTGTATGTGTGATCACTGGACGCACTCAATGGTCAACTGCATTCACACTTCCATTCTCTTCAGACTAGTTCGTTGATTAGCTATTTATTTAATCAATATCATCAAATGGTATAGTATCGTTCTCTTATGGTCTTATGTGTGTTATCACATCCCTCACCTCAGTAAGTAGATAAATAAATTAATAAATAAACAAACAAACAAACTCATGAACAGTCAATTCATTCATTCATTCAGTAAAATGGACTTCACATTAATGACAATAATCAATTTAGACGATTATAATTAGAAGGAGTATTCTGAGTCGATTGAAGTATAACAAGAGTAATCAACAACAATTCACATACTTCTTAGGTAGATTCATCATACTGAGTTGATAATTATTGATAAGTGAATAATGAACAAGAAACAACAACATGATGAAACAAATAAACAAGCAAACAGACTATGGATCATTGACTAGAAATACAGTAAGTGGTCATTCATATCTCATTGTATGTACACTTGTGAAAGTGGTTGGAAGTCTACTTATTCAAATTGGTCATATGATCCATATGATCTCACATTTCAATAACAATAATCATAATAACAATAACAGACGTAATTCACTTGATGTATGTCTCCGTCTCTCTCTTTTCCGATTGTGTGTGTGTTTGTGTATGTATGAGAGGGTGTTAACAAGATGTTAACAAGGCAATTCAGCTCTCCTCATGAACACAAACATGAGAGGCGAATGGTGTAGAAATTCGATTAGAAAATTTCATACAAATTGATGAATAGATGGATCTGCAGTGAAAATCACCGCAGTTATACAGGTGAATTCAATGTAACTACAATAATTTACAGACAATATGAATAGTGTTGTGGTGATAGTTGGACATATCCTCTTCACTCCTATTCTGATCTACAAACACTGTCTAAATATCGATAGACACACTGATTGCAGAAAGTGTTGAACGATCAGATTGTTTGTGTTCATTCGTGAATCGATGTAATCAGTTGTCATATCACATCACATCACTTGGTGTTACTAGTAATTCAGCTCAGTTCGGATCAGTTCAACTATGATGTCTTAACCAATCCTGACATGATGAGTGAAATGGAATAGTCCTGACGACTTGTTTTTATTATTCACCTATTGAGTGAGAATGTAATGCACATGATGCAAGATACACAAGATATAACGAATCCTATACTCAATCTATATTCACTGCAATCAATCACTAACTCAATGAGGAATGATCCAGTTCACACCATCTCACCATTTATAAACTCATCCAATTCATCAACATCACTTTCCTCATTCACAACAATCATGACCACATCCATCTGAGTTAATTATTATTATCAGTAGTATTATTATAAGTGATCATTTCAAGTTCTATTACACCAACATCGATTATCTTATCAAATTGTGACGATGACAACAACTAAATATCCTATCACATCTACACAATACACAATCATATTCATCATTGTATCAGTCTTATAATCAAGTTGCAACATCCCAATCATACACAACATACACTAAGAGAATGTGTATGTAAGAGGCACAGAGAGAGAGAGAGAGATAGAGAGAGACTGAGAGTAGAGTATAATCATACATTGTTTAGTGTTGACAAGCATAAATTCAATTCTACAATCCAGTTTACACTGTTATCTGTGTTGCCCACCCCACCCCCAATATACCGACACACAAATTCACAATTATAATAATGGGTTAAGTTGAGATAATTATGAAATGAATCTATGATCAATTTCATTCAATTGACCATTTCTATATCAACTTACAGACCTATAATTTAGTATATTTCCGATTCTGTGCTCATGTGGTGAGAAGATGGGGATTGTAACTGGGGTAGAACGATTTCAATTTTCCATGATATTTTTTACAAAAAAACATTATTCCTTCAATCATTTTCACACACTGATGATGATTAGCACAGGAATCCAGTTTGACGAGTGTTTCGTCCTATTTGCGACTCGTCAACTGAATGTACCTGCATCTCAGAGTTGATGTTCTCTTTTGAACTGCAACTGAAGAGTCCCAAATAGGACGACACGTGTGTTAAACTGGATTCCACTTCAAGCAAGCACTATCCATCTTTGCTCATAATGTTTGTGAATTAAGGCAATATCAAGGCAATCACCACAGGATGCACACAAGTCAATAAGAGACTGATCAATTACAGTCCTGAATATCAATGGGAACATTCATGCAAACAATACTAAGTGAATAGATCAATAATTTTTCAAAACCGAAATTTGTTGGAGTAGTTAAGTGAATCGAGAGAAGGTAGAAATACGAACAAGTGAAGGAGATCGAGAACAATTGTCTTCGGAATTCTACTTGATGGAAGATACATTGTTGTGATGGTGATATTCACACAGGCGATCGACTGACGGCAAATTCGAAAGACCATTTGGTTGGTTGAAATTTCAAAACACTGAAATGAGAAAAGACGATGGATACATACACTGCAGTCCGGATATTCATCTCAGTTGAAAAATGCCTGTAGAATGTGGTTGAGATAATTTGTCATGTTCACCCAACCACTACTACTGGTGTGACGGTGATCAATCAGTATTAGCAAATCCTATCCATTCTCTATAAAACTGCCAGTCACAGAATGGAGACCAAGAAAGTTGAAGGTTACAAATGACACATCGTCATTGCACTACAATCAAAAAAGACAAGAACTGTATCCGTCAAACATTACTGTTGAGAATGAGAGTCGAAAGTGTGGAACAGTTGACAGAATTATGGTTGTGATACACCATTGGAATATTGCAAATGTGTATCATCTCAGCTGAAACACAACAATTCACATGTCAACTATTCCACTGAAAATAACAACTCAAGTGTTTCTCTGTTCATTCCAAGTCGACCCAATCCTACTCGGATGTTCTACAGCTCTGAAATTCCACAATCATTCATGTGTCTGAAACCCAATGTGATACAACTCCAAAGCTTGTTCAAAATCATATGAGATTGAGTCTACTGACTTGATGCATGGTCTGACACATTTCATCACATAAATGCGTGAATTCTGTTAATAAACTGTCAGATAAATCTCAATGAATGAGATTGTCAATCTTCGGAAATTATCACATGGACACCAGTTTGTTGATTAGCACATGTACTGATCGACTTCATAATGAAGTGCACTGATTCTATGCATATGTATTGTGGTTCATTAATTGTGTGAAGTAGTGGTCTACGAACGAAAATAAGCATTAGTTGTGTGTTTAAATGTACAACGTGATCGACTGTTTGCTTATTCGTTTTCCCAATCAGAGACTGTGAATGAGGAGATGTTGCATTTGTGTGTGTGTGTGTGTGTGTGAATTTGAGGAAATACACAATAGAGCAATGAGACTAACCGCTGTTAGTGGATATTTGATAAACAACAAGTTGAATGAAGATAAATTTGACTAGACAACATTCACAACCACAGATAATATGTATCTCTCTATCTCTCGTAGATTAGTTAAACACTACAATCGAACACCATGTCATTAGAGACTTAGTAACCTCTAGTGTATCAGACATGAACGATTTAATCATATCAATGCCATGTACTACTATATTCTTCCATCATTCATACAATAACTGAAACGACGACTACTACTACTGCTACTACTTCATTCAATGAGAATTATTACTGGATGTGAGTGTAAACACAGGTTCACAGGTTCATAACAATCTTGTAAAACGAAGTTAAACTCTCATGGACTCGAACCACACATAGATACAATACTTAAACATCCTCATTCACAATCGACTTTGGTCCGACTTATGTAACCTTCTTCAATTTACACAACAACAATGAAATCGTCTACTTAGTCAAAATCGAAAGTCATGTAACAATGTTTTAAATCATTATTAATCAGTACTAGTCATATATATGAGGAATGGAATGGAATGGAATGGAATGGAAAGGAACAGATATTCCCACAATGTTTTATAGTAGAATGAATTTCCGAAACCTTAAGGGAATCAATGATATTCTGAGAAGTGTCACTGTTACACACACACACACACTATAAGTCGTTGGATTTATATGGACATGACAACAACATGAAGAACAATATGAGAGAGATGTCAACAGACAGAAGACACCGAATCAATTGTGATGCAATATTCTACTTCAAATCTACATTTAGTCATAATTTGTTCTATCTTCATCAGTAAACAGATGATATTCACATCACACACACAATACACACACACACAATTCCCCCTCCCTATTCTCGTGAATTTCTACAAACAAACAATAAGTATGTTCACCAGTGACACATACACATTCAATTAGCCTTCGTAACAAAACAATAGAAAATCAACAACACGAGGACGTCAACTACCACCACCAAATAACAACAACAACAATAACAACAAGTTCAACCACGTTTTCATTCATTCACTGGGCAACATTTATTTCATTCCACTCTCATCAAGTTTTCCTCACTCCCCTTCTCTCTCTCTCACTCTCTCTCTCGCCATCTCTCTCAGACACACACACTCCCCATTACTTTCAACCAATCAGTGAATGATGCGTCCAATCTCATTGTGTTTTCATTGGTCAATCTAACATGAACCAATAGAAAGGTAGATCGTTGAGCAAACTCGGTATTTTTGTTCCAGCATTCAACCGAATATCTTCATCAAAGATTATTCAGTTCGTTTGATTCATACAGAATCATATTCTCTTATTCACATTGTTCAGTTCATACTACTTATATTGTGATTGTGACAGAGAGAACATCAACATTATAATTGTGATTAGTGACAGTTCACATTACGATTCATCAGTTTGATGTCCTGTGGAATACTTGGAACAAATAAATCATATTGACTGGAAAGTATCATAACCACTTCCAAAGATCACTTCATTTCACACTCACACTCAAACTCACAGGATCTTTGCAAACTCATCATTCACTCGTTTCTCATTATCATGTCATACAATAATACACTTCCATCAAATATTTTCTCCAATCATCACCAATTCATGCAAATTTGTGATTATGACGACAATGATGTTGATGATGATAACAATCATGATCATACTAGTAATACCAGTCACAATATGATCCATCCACCACCCAACTTGTTCACACCACAAACTGCACAGATGATCTCATCCATACTACCCATTTCCACTTCCACCTCCTCCACATCTGTGATTCACACTAATGTGGATAATCACAGTGATTCTCACTCATTTTCCTCACAAACAGATCCATTCCGCTTAGCATTCGAAACATCACCTATTCATTCAAACACCATTCATCATTACAATACGAATTGTAATCGTCATCTTCATTCTGGTATACAACACTACAACTCCTTGTTCATTCCATACCACAATTACATCAACCAATGGAACAATGTGCAGACGAACAATGTCACTCCACCTGTCGACGACAACCACAACACTGTGAATGTGGCCAAAATAAAGGGATTACATCGCAATCATCCACAACGTCGTCAACATCATCGTCATCACCGCAATCACCATCAACAACAACAACAACAATTCCAAACTCACAATGTCAAGCCGTGTGATCTGATCACAGAAGATGAACCGAAACCGAATTTCAGTTATATTGGTAAGTCTGTAGTTGTTTGGTCATGTGATTAATTCATTGATTGACTGATTGAATGCATGACAAGGAAATTCTTCCTTAATTTCAGTGAGTGGGTGATTTGTTGCATACCACACTCATTATCTACGAAGTACACTGATTACACTATGTGATTGATTGTAAATAAGAATGTGAGATTTGTGGTTGTGGGTATTTTCACGACTGAATTGGTGAGGGAGATCATTCCGTGTGGAATGAAACACACACATTGTAGTCTCTTTCATTAAACACTATTGACAATTTAAGTTAAATATACGTCACACTCAGATATCTGTTTTAGTGCAACATACACGACAAACAACTAATCCGTTCATTCCTCAAATATAAACCAACAACGAGAGAGTACTTGCATTGAATAACTGAGAGAACTTTTGTTTATCTTGTAAAAGGGAGAATACAGGGTAGTGAGTGCGAGTTTTTTAGGATAGTACGAAACATACATTCTCTCCTCATTCCATTGCTACTTACACTCATAATAATTAAGTAGTTCGATCCAATAAGTCTGAACAATAATGTTTTCGTTGAGAAGACACAATGAGAAATTCTGTCAAGTGCTTCATGTAATTCACTGAACACAATTTCTCAATCAAATGTATTTGTAATCGTGTAACACTTCTGAATTGATTTGATGTCTCCAGATCAATTCATTACTGGTCAAGCCATTTGAGGTTAGTCAATTATTGAGCTGCGACTTATGTCATTTGATGATTGTGTAGTTGCTGGTTTCCTCGGAAATATGTTCAGTGGATTTCGAATATGCTACTCAGTTGTTCAAATGTAGGTAGAACACTACACGGATGTAATGCACACAAACACATGCACACACACACACATACACGATTTTCAACATTATTTCCTGTTTGATAGATTGCTTTTGTCCATTTGTTATGAGTGATATTTCGATAGGTTGATTACTCTGAAACGATAACCGACTCCTTCTTCATCCCATTAACTAATGAATGACGTTTCCGTTAGAGATCAAGACCTAAGCAGTATGTGTAGATATATATGTATATACATTATACGCTTCTCACTTGGTGACATTACACTCCCATCACACAATGCATCAATTCATCAACTACATTGTCTTCATTATTGAAAACATCAGATTGCAATAAGAAATCTGTAGGTCAGATAGTGCATTTATCGATCTATTCAAATATTACTGTTGTTGTTTGGATCTGACAACATTACAGTAAAATACTCGATGTTATCAGATTCATTGAACTATTCCATGATCAGATATCTCCAATCAAATATTGCGGTTTTGTTCATATTGTATACAAGAGACATTGTATGCGAAAGTCGAAATGATTGATCTTCGTCATTTAACAGTGTGGTTTGTGGTGAATTCACAAGACAAAGTAGATTATGATTGCACAAATCCGGTGGGCAATGCCTCACTGTTCACCAACAAACTGTCTGTCTGCAGTTTCAAGTGTTCTCGTCAATTGTGGACATTTAATGTGAATAGATTTTTCCTCAAGTTTGTCAGTGTACAGAACCCCATCAACACCAGTCTGTATTCGTCTAAATTTGTTAAGTCATTCAGTTAATTTATTCAACAGACTGTGTCATTAGAACAGCAACTATTTGTCTACATCTTTCTATTACTTCTTTTTTTATCTTGTGTGTATGAACATGTATGCTTGTCACAACCTTCACAGAATTCCCTCTTACCTACTTAAATGTTAATTGTTTAAATCACTCAGTCACTCATTCCATTCCCATAATCATATCTATTTCCTCACTAAATCTGATCAATTCATTCGTCTCATTATTCATCCTCAATGGATCTCATTCACATTTCTTCCCATATTCTCTTTGTGTACTTGTGACTGTGTGATCTGAGTTGTACCATAATCAACAATGATCAACGACTCGTTTCGTCTTCTCAAATCTATATATTCTATTCGGTGTTATCCATTCACGGTGATCACGACAAGTGATATCTACTAAGCATTAGGAATCATCTCGAAGATGATATTCCACAACAAGTGTCCATCACTCAACAACTAATTCAATCGAGTGAAATACCAGTACAACTAGAATCGTAAACTCTTAACAGAGATGGATGACACATGGATTGTGTGAATGAGTGAAATGACACAACTCCACAAAATCGGTTGTTTCATTGATACATTCTCATTGTTATCACTGATTCGACCAAAATCAATTTCACTAATACAATACACAATCCTTATTATTATTATCATTACTATTATGATTATGAATAAACTGGTATATCCATTCCACATTTCCCACAATTTGGTTTCATTTGTGTATCCATTTCATGTGAATTGAATGTCCCACATAGAATCTCCTGTTAGTATTTTCCATTATCCATTACAACATATCATTACTATGAATAATAACAATTAATGGTATTATGATTATGATTAATGACCACTTATGACGTAATCAGAATTGATTGTGATATACAATCCACTTTCAAGTTTGTTTGATCAAGTGTGTGTGTGTGTAAGGGAGTGTTAATTAACGCTGATCGGTAGAATCCTCTCAATGATAATCATAATAATAATACTAATTTCTGATGTCTGTAATGATGATGACGATGATGATGATGATGATGAGGTTATTAACATGAGCTGTAGAATAGTGTTATGTTGATCTACCAGTGTGTTTGTGTGTTTCGACACGCGTGGTAAACACAATACCGGATAACCTTCAATTAATTTTCAAAAAGTGTTTTGATTTTCGTCTCAGCCACAATCATTCATTCATTTGTTCATTCATCACATACACATTGTTACAAATGAAAGGGAACAGTGTGTTCACTATGCTAATCAAGTGTTATAATATACCTGTGAGATAACATTGTATGCGAGTGTGTGTGAGTGTGAGTGAGTGAGTGAGTGTGGTTCGTACATCTGAGATTGATGTAAATTGTCATCAAAACAAACAGTTTGATTACTGTTTCTCAATGAACCACTTGCAACAATCGTTAGCATGTTTGTGCTTGAGTGTATGCTCTGCGAATACACCAACACCTCTCCCTTTACACTCATGTCATAATAATAATAATAATAATAATAGTAATAATCATAGTTATATTGCTTCTAGTATACATAATCATCCATAATTATGGTGTAGAATTATGATGAATGGAATAAAGTTAACATTGAAGTGAACAGTACGCATATGGTGAATGATGAATTCAGTAAAGATATAGTCAAGAAGGGAAAAATGTCGTCTGAATTGTCGCAATCGATCTTTATATTCAGTAGCATAATCATCATTATTCAATAGTATTAAGCACACAAATGATCATTGGAAATGGAAACGAACACATTTGAAAGTGGACTGATATAATGAATATGTGACTGTTTGTGTGTGTGTGTGTGTCTTCTTTCCGTCTATCTTAGATCACACGACTCATCATTTCATCTTCACATTTCGCTACTAATAAGTAGTAATCGAATGTTGCATATAAAATAATTAATTAACAACTAGTCTCTTCCCATCATTTTCATGTATGAAATTTCAATTGACTCGAACTGACACAATCTTGCTTATCGAATTTGAACACACGGTGAAGTAATGCCATTTGATCACTGTGATCACTGTGATCACTGGAACCAATGTCCATTCGAAAATCAACTTCCTCCATGTTACACATCAATCATCAATGAACAGATCTGTCGAAATTCTCTACTTCAATAAACAGCAGCGAAATCTGTGAAATAGTGGTAGACAATGAGGTGATGTGAGATTTTGCTGTTGACTTCAGTATTGATTACCACTACGGAAGATACAACAGTCTTAATGCAGAATTGACATAACACCCAACTTCACCATGTTCACACTCGACCACCAAACACGTTGTTGTATGTGCAACACTCGTGTCGAGTCATTCACTCACAGAATTCATCGGTGCACACTGGACTTCAAGAGATAGAGAACTAGTATTTCAATGTAATCAGTGAATCAACTGGTAATTCTAATAGTGCACACTTAAATCTCAATTAATTTGTCATTTATCCACATATTATTCAGTTAAATTGACCATTTATTTATTCTCTTCAAATCACAACATTCTAGGATTGATTGCAAAGGCCATACTCAGTACACAAGAAAGACGTATGATATTGTCAGAAATCTATCAATGGATTCAACTACGTTATCCATATTTCAGTACACGTGGACCAGGATGGCGTAATTCCATTCGACACAACTTGTCATTGAATGATTGTTTTATTAAAGTCGGTAAGTTGTTAGGTGTTGTCGTGATTAATTTGTTATTGCAATTGTGACGGTTCACTCACTGAATCATTCCATTATGTGAACAGTGTGTTTTGTTCACCGAAATTATCCGAATGACGATACTGAATGTGTCGAGTGACTGGGAACTGGTCAGTTGTCATTCATTCACCCGGTTCAGTGGCATAGACTTGCGGTGTCGCGCGCGGCATCGTGGATGCGCAATGTCCATAAGTCCCATATCAGAACAAAATGTCCGTCCAGTTCTCTCAGTTTTTCAATGGTGGTCTAACATTGATCCATTCATAATATCAATATGTACTCAACAATGTCCACAATCCAATACTGATAATCACCAGCAACATTCTAAATATCTACTCAATGTAAACTGGGAAACCACCACCTAGCGGAAAATGAATATGTGAGGTGGATTGGTGATGGCAGTAAGCCACTCACTCTCAATTATCACCATAAATAATATTCCAATGTGCACAGATGAAACCGTGATTTCCATGGAACATGAAACCTGACGATTATGTTCATAACTACTCAGTGTGACTCATGGTGAACAATCCGTATTCCACATCACGGTTAATCAAGAAACACACTTCAACCGTTCAAACACATCATGTTGAAGATTGCTTCCTGATTCGCACAACCACTCACTAATCTCATCAAGCACAACACCACGAATTTCGTCAACTCTTCGGTAACTCGGATGTTGATTTCACGTAATTTATTTGCATGTTCCACACAATTTATCACTCACCAAATGAATCTGATTGAAATCTAATTGACATTGTACATTTATTTGACAGGTAGAGCAGCAAATGGGAAAGGACACTATTGGGGAATCCATCCAGCCAACTTGAAAGACTTTCTCAGTGGTGACTTCAGAAGACGTAGAGCACAACGCAAAGTACGTCGAGCATTAGGATTGAGTCGACCTGACGATAAAATTCATGATGATGATGACGACGACGATGATGATGATGATGGTGTTGACGTTGATGGTGATGGTGGTGGTAACGGTGATCGAGGTGATGACCGAAACTCACAAACACTCAATTCTCCACTCATTCAACAAACATTTCTCCAATTTCTACATCCATATATACCCACATATCAACTGATCAGGTCAACACTCACACCGAATTCCTCTCCAACACTCACAACACACAAACACACATTCAATGCCAAATCATACAATCCACCACATACACCAATACCAATCACAAACACAAACACAAACACAAACATACTCACATTCGATCAATTGACCGATTCTACTAACAACCACTACACAAACAATCCATCGAACATCACAACTCCTCTCCTATTCAATCCATCACCTGTCCCACTCATTCACAATTCACACCGACTACCTCACCAATCACCGATAAATGCATCACCAACAAGTCGAATGAACGATTCCACTGAATTCAAACAATCAATCCAAACACTAAACACCACCAATCAACTATGCAAATCGAGTTGCACCAACGACACATTGATCGATCTCTTCTACATCAATTTGATGCATTTACTCAAAAATCATCATTCATCCATTCAATCTGACATGGATGGTAAACACACATGTGACAAGCCTCTATTACCGGTTCCAAATTCAATTGCAAGTACCAACCATACTACTACTAATACTACTAATACTAACAGTACAACAACAACTACTACTACTACTACTACCAATAGTAATAATAACAATACACATACTAACGCCACTACCAGTACTACCCACACAACAAACACTATCATTCCTCTCAGTATTCCTATCTCTGATCATCATCGAGTTGATTGTCAATATGTGAATTCATCATGTTCTTCACTCGATCCTGTATTCCTCAGATCTCATCCACTCTCCACTCAACATCCAGTCAATGTCAGTTTCAATGTGGTCAACTTGATTGATCACAAACTCAATCCAAGTGATCCTGTTCCTAATTCCGATCCTACTCGTAATCATGATGATGATGATGATGATGACAAGAGTGTTGTTGTTGTTGTTACTGATGTAAATAATGATGCTACAATCTCTAAAATGATGAAGTCACGACAATATCATGTTTACAATGAAGGTGATCAGAAGACTGATCTTGATCAGAATGAATCACAAAATGATGATGATGATGATGATGATGATGATGATGATGATGATGATGATGATGATGATGATGATGATGATGATGATGATGATGAGGATATTAAACTGGAATTACATCCAGCAAAACTCACCATCAATTGATCAATCAGTTGTTTAAACATTATCCAATTCAAATGTATCATATTCATTTCATAGTTTAGATAATCCATTAGTTTACATGGTAATTAAATCATAAACTCTTTGTTCATTTACTTTTTAATAAGATATTCAATGAGCTATTAATACAACTGCACAGCATCTATATTCTACAAATTGCTTGAATGATTTCTTTTGGAATTATTTTGACGGAATTTTGTTCTTTCATCTAGATGGTTTTGGTCGTGGAACTTTCATTATTATTCCAAACGATATCATCACACTGGAGTGTATAGTTTGGAATCTTCCATTGCATTAAACTAATGATAATATTTAGTAATTAGTTATTGTACTATACTATAAATAGCAGTAGGAAATAATGACTAAAGCTATTTGGAGCGTCGATCTAATCGTTGATTGGTTTGTTGTTGACCTCCAGTATTCTTCAGTTATACAACGTTTATGTCAACAACAACAACAAAGTAAAAGAACGATATCCGATCACTTACAAGAATCTTTGTGGATTGATTGAAGTTAGACATTAACACAATTGGATGTCGACTCAGTGGTCTAGAGGTTAAGCGTTCACACGCTAGACTAATAGATCTTGGGTTCGAATCTCATATGGCGGGATTGTGGATACTCACTGCTGAAGAGTCCTATACTAGGATGAAACGGTCATCCAATGCTTCAAGTTATCCATGGTGGTCTAACTTCAGTTGACTCATAAATTCAACAATCCATCTATCCTTGTAAACATTTTTATTATCAACAATAGTAATTCAGTTAGATTGATTTTTTTTTGTTTTCTGAATGTCCCCCCTCCTCTCCTCTGTAACGTTTTATTATATGTAACTATTCAATGTTCTCAATGTCTTTCATTTATTGATCGATCAATAAATGGTTATTTATCTTTTGAACTAAATCAATATTTGATCAGATCAATTGAATTTTCTTTTTTTCGTTTTCTCCATTGATTGTTTCTAGGGGAAAGAAATGTTTTTTTTCTTTGAATGGATTGTTTTCTTTCTGATTAGTGTTTTGTCAACAAGATTGTTTTTCATAAAATGTAGTCATTAATCCCAAGATTCACTTTCATTTTTTTATTTATTTACTTGAACATGGAACTTTCAATAACCACAAAAAGGAATTGTAATCTTTTAATCAGACATCAATTAGATCGGATGATGTTGTCGACGAGCTCATCATTATAATGATCCTGAATTTAACTGTAGTTGGATCGGACAAATGATTGTTATTAAAATATACATATCGGCTATTCTCGTGTATTTCATTGACTTAAATCGCATTAGTGAATTAAATAAGTCAAATACGAGGATGGATTTACTTGATATTGTTTGACTTGTATATTCCCATTGAAGTTTAAGACTACAATTGATCAGTCTGTTATTGGCATATGTGCATACTGTGCGTACGCCTCGATATTGCCTTAATTCGCAAGCTTTTTGTAAGCAATGATGGACAGTGGCTAGCAGCGGCGCGATGGCGTTTGAAGCGAATGGTACTGGGTTCGAGTCCCAGAGTGAGAATCAACTCTGAGATGCAGGTACATCCAGCTGGAGAGTCCCAAATAGAACGAAACGCGCATCCTGAATTCCACTGCTAGCCACTATCCATCATTGCTTATGACGATGGATGTTTGAATACGTATATTTTGTATACTAATAGATGTGGACAGGTAATTTAAGGGATGAAGCGAATAAAAGAGAAGGAAGCCGAATTACGCGCGGTGGAGTGGAAGTGTGAGCCAACTCCATTTAGTCAAGCGTTAATCAATATTTATAACCAGATAAAAATAAGTTACAGACATGTGATGAATAGGATGAGAAGTGTACATCAGTCAGTCAGTAACAACGTAGAACTTCGTACGTACGTACGCACATCAGTTCGAGTTGCCATACCACATTAGTACAGAGATGCAGTGGTCGATCCAAATTCCCTAGTGCTAGAGGTAGTAAAAGTATAAGCAGTAATCGGAAAGATTAGAGCTTGAAGATGTTATTCAAGAAGTATATTCCAGTGAAATAAATTTGAAAAGAGGAAAAAAGGGACATGAAGAATTCAGAAGATTAGAATTCGGGATCCGCTGTAAACCAACATTACATGAGCGTCGGTTACTGAACCTGCGCCATTGCAAACAATTTTGAGTTATTTCATTCAAGGTCTCTAACCATCGGTTGCTATCATCTCGTAAATTTCAACCAGGTAGTCTGCACCTACCAACATAACTTAGTCCACTTGTCAGTGACTTTAAGGATTTATGCCATGTTTTTGGTCTGGATGCCCCTAACTTTCTTCCAACCTACTCCTACACCATAAAGCATCGCATGTCGGGGCATTCGGCGGTTGGGCATACATAACACGTGTCCCAGCCATCTCAACTGATGAAGTTTCATTACTTAACCAATTGATTTGCCATCCTTACCTAGTACCCGTTTCCTAATAACTGCGTTACTTACTCGATGGTTCCAGGATATATGAACGATGTATCGAAGACACCTATGATCAAATACCAGTAACCTACGAATATCCTCTACTCTTACCGGCCATGTTTCATCACCATAAAGTAGGACGGAACGAACTATACATATATACACTCGTATAAAAGCAGTCAGGGTTGATAAGTGAATAATGAACAAGGTCAAAACGTCACTCAAGAAGAGTGGAAGTGTGAGCCAACTCCATTTAGTCAAGCGTTAATCAATATTTATAACCAGATAAAAATAAGTTACAGACATGTGATGAATAGGATGAGAAGTGTACATCAGTCAGTCAGTAACAACGTAGAACTTCGTACGTACGTACGCACATCAGTTCGAGTTGCCATACCACATTAGTACAGAGATGCAGTGGTCGATCCAAATTCCCTAGTGCTAGAGGTAGTAAAAGTATAAGCAGTAATCGGAAAGATTAGAGCTTGAAGATGTTATTCAAGAAGTATATTCCAGTGAAATAAATTTGAAAAGAGGAAAAAAGGGACATGAAGAATTCAGAAGATTAGAATTCGGGATCCGCTGTAAACCAACATTACATGAGCGTCGGTTACTGAACCTGCGCCATTGCAAACAATTTTGAGTTATTTCATTCAAGGTCTCTAACCATCGGTTGCTATCATCTCGTAAATTTCAACCAGGTAGTCTGCACCTACCAACATAACTTAGTCCACTTGTCAGTGACTTTAAGGATTTATGCCATGTTTTTGGTCTGGATGCCCCTAACTTTCTTCCAACCTACTCCTACACCATAAAGCATCGCATGTCGGGGCATTCGGCGGTTGGGCATACATAACACGTGTCCCAGCCATCTCAACTGATGAAGTTTCATTACTTAACCAATTGATTTGCCATCCTTACCTAGTACCCGTTTCCTAATAACTGCGTTACTTACTCGATGGTTCCAGGATATATGAACGATGTATCGAAGACACCTATGATCAAATACCAGTAACCTACGAATATCCTCTACTCTTACCGGCCATGTTTCATCACCATAAAGTAGGACGGAACGAACTATACATATATACACTCGTATAAAAGCAGTCAGGGTTGATAAGTGAATAATGAACAAGGTCAAAACGTCACTCAAGAAGAATGAATGAATTAGGCTGTCCAGAAGCTAGGATAAGGTATATGAGCTTAACATAGTAAACGACATTACAGACTCCGGAAGTGGTTGAAATTAACTCAACTTGTTCGAATCAAATAATATTTTCAATGTGAACACATTTTGTATGTTATATTTGTCACAGATTAATGTAGGTCGGGATACTGTAATCAAACATAGAGTAATAAATATGGACTTTGTACTACTGTATGACTACCCAGTGGTGAACACCGATAGTCTCATCAAGGTTGGAGTTCATATCTTCCAGAATTCATGGTGACCATCTAATCATTAGAACTATTAAGTCAACGTCCAACGGTAAAATAGTCAACTTACTAGTGACCTACTTAAAGATATTGTTGAAGTTTGAGGAGAAAGTTGTAACTGGTGGAACTCAGTTATGTCAGATATGAAACAACTGGCATAAGTGACATTAAATGTTACTTTACGTTATATTCCAAACTTATTAAATTTGAAGTATTAACAGTGAATACCGACATGATGATTCTAGTAGTTCAACATTCTTCATGAGCTCTGGAGTATCTGAGCCTGACTCTCGGTGAAGTCGTCGGTATGCATTACTGAGAAATTTTATAAGAGAACTAAGCAGTTGTTCAGTAATCTCATGTTTTTAATTCTTTCGCCACTGAGATCAATCTGTAATCAATTCAACCTTGAAATGAAATGTGTCTTCAAGAAACTTCTTCAAAAAAATGTATGAATATTAGTGAAAACTAATGTTTATCGCAACCTATATGTTTTTCATAATGCTTGTTAGGCTTTAACTGAACGTCTTTAACATTACCATCTTAAGTGTTAACTAGACTTTTAGAAAACTTAAACTCTTGAACTCTAAACAAGGAGATAATACAACAAAACCTTTATCTCAAGAATTGATCCCACTATAGAGATCAAAGGGTGACTTTATGGCTTTGTAATCATTTTGAAACTATGCTTATATTATTGATAATTTATGTATTTGAATAAACATACTAGAAAAGAATATTGTGATGTATGCTACTGATGTCAACAGATATAAGTAGTATATATTGTTATATGTACTACTTATGTTTATATAAGTAGTATATAATGCTAGTCAGGAATAGAATGTCTAGCATCAGTAGGTTGGAACGATCGAGGAGGTAAGAACGGGAACAGAAAGTAATTGGTATGGAAACGCAGGAATAATTAAATCTGAGACAATTAAAGATGATTTTACAAGTGAAGTATTTGCTGTATGACTCGGAGGTACATTCGATTGTTTCCATTTGTGTTTTTTTTTCCAATAGAGCTAATGAGCTAAAAGTAGTGTGAAATACTTTTCAATTTATGTCGATAATAGATGAAATTCTATTATTAACTGACAAACATGATTTTTTTAA